ACAATTTTTTTGCTTCCAGTCCAGTGTGTACTTTTGTAAATGTCAAGCTTTGTGGAAAAAGAAATATGTGAAGGGCAACAGCAGTGTTTCTTTGCTCATCCAGATGTATAATTTCCTCTCACATTGAAAATAAAACTGAGTAGCCATGTAATTTTCTAGGCTGTCATCTGATTTCATGATCAAGAGTCTCTCATGCTCTCTCCCTTGTGTTGTCATTTGAACCATTTTATTCACATATCATGTGGTCCAATAATTTAAACATATCTAAAAGAGTTGCATAATCATCAACACAATTCATTTCAGAGCATTTTCTTCTTCCTCGTAAGTCATTATTATTAGTTCCTCGTTTGCACCCCAACCCCCTGCCATCACCCCAGGAAATTATTAATCTAGTTAGTGTCTCTATAGATTTAGATCCGGTATCTCTGTCCATTACCAGATGACAAAGATGTACATGGACCAATGTAGCTAAAATGGCCAAACGGCCGTAGCTTCTGAATTTTAGTCATTTCTCCAGCATTGTGCTTGTGAAAAGTGACTGAATGTCTACTCAGACCGTGTTATATTCTACAGACTGAACCTGGGCTCAGAGAACGCGGCAGTGGAAGGTAGCTGGATGTGCATAGCATGGTGGTGAGCCTCGGAGTCCTAGGAAGAAGAAAGGGAGAAGACCTGAGATGGAAGAGGAAACTAAAACACTACCAAAGAAGTGGGGCTGAAAAACGGTTCCTCTTCCTCACCTCAATCAGAAGGAAACAAGGTCGACAAAGTCTGAATTGAGAATGGCAGATTGTCCAAGGCACATGGCTCAAAAGGGTCTGGAGAGACTTCTCATGGAGCGTTCGGGCCCAGTGTGCCCAGCACAACTGGAAAGGGTTGTCATGTGTGAACTCAATTCCTTCCCAGCGTATTATGAGCAGTTTAGTAATATGTTTCCCACATTTACGAATAAGGAAACCACGGCACTGAACACTTGTTCAAAGTTACAAAATGAGAAGGAGATGAAAATGAGACTTAAGAACAAAAGCAATCTGATTTCAATGTCTAGCTTCAAAACCACTGGTTGGGGCGGGGGAGCCATATCAATACAGACTGCCAAGTAACTTCAGAAATAAATGCCCACCTTGCAAGAGTCAACACAAAGTTATAATAACCATGTCACAACCAACTGTATCTATCATATGCAAACTGCTGTTCTGTGTCATTATAGAAACAAAAACACTTACGTTCATTTTCAGAGTGTTTCTGACTTGACAATTCACAACCATGAATGAGATATGTGAGTTTCTACTTGGCACTATAAAGTCTTAAAAGTGTTTTTATTTCTTTTCCTTTAAAGTGAATTTTAATGAGCCCTTAATTGCAAAGCAGTTCATAAATATTCATGATCCATTAAGAGAAGCTTTGTTTGTTTCACATTCCTAAAAGCTAAAAACGTAGTCAGTAAAACCCTGAAGTAGAGTAGACCGGATTACAAAACTAAGTAGAATTATAACTATTAGATTCTGTTTTTTAAAAACATGTAAATTTCAATGTAAAATGTAAGCATCAGGTCCTATCATTAGACCATGACATAAAATTCTTAGTATGCAAAATGTTTTGCCTTTATAAGGAGTCTTCCACATTATCATCTGTTGAGGATATTTTCATTTTTATCACGCATGCAATTTTGAATGACTGAAAACATTTCACCATCTCCTCACAATGCCCGCTGCATCGCAGCGCAGTAAAACGGCTGTGATGTTAGGAAGAAATCATTTTGCTCTAAGTCAATGGGGAAAGCCCAGCTATTATGAAAGTGCCCCAAACCTTTTTTGGGTAAAAATGGTTTATAGCTGGATTTGCATCTTCAAATGACACATTCACAAAAGGGTTGTGTATCCTATCAATTCTGGGTAGGGTTTCAAACAGAACAAGGGCATGCTGAATGATTTCAGTGCTTTTCATTACTTCCGGAAAGACGTATGTCAAGGTTGTCTCCTTTGGCCGTATTCAAGCTGCATTCCGAGCAGGTAATCGGAGCAGCGAGACTGCATAAAGAACGGGGCGCTGGGAACCAAAGGCAGCTCGTGTGCAGATGGCGCATCCATGCTTGCTGAAAGCAAAGAGGACTTGAAGCAATTACTGATAAAGATCAAACCACATAATCCTCAGCATAAATTACAGCACAATGTAAATAAAGCAAAAACTGTTCACAATTGGGCAAATAAAAAAATGTCATAATATAGGAAGGAAAGATTACAGTTGTCAAAGATTTCATTTTACTTGGATCCACAATCAACGCCCATGGAAGCAGCAATCAAGAAACCAAGCTATAGACTGCATTAGGCAAATGTGCTCTCTGAGGACCAATGTACACCTGACTTCAGTCATGGCATTTTCAATCACCTCCTAGGCATGTGAAATCTGGAGCGTGAACATGAAGATCAGAAAAGAATTGTGCATAGGAATTATGGTGGGCTACCAGAACTACAGCAACAACAAGCTCGTCTTAGAAGAAGCACAAGTCACATGCTCCTTAGAAGTAAGGATGCCCAGGCTTTGCTTCATGTACTTTGAAGATGTTACTGGGAAAGACCAAAGTAAAAGAGGGAAGCTATCAGTAAGATGGATTGACAAAGTGGCTGCAACAATGGTCTCACACATAACAATTGTGAGAACGGTACAGGATCAGGCAATGTCCCATTCTGTTGTACATGAGGCAGCTATTGTTTAGACTGGATTGGGTTTTTATTATTTTTGAAGGCACCTGAGAAGACTAAAACTAATGTAGTGCTTAAATAATTTATCGATCGCCACTCACCGATCACAGAAACATATCTAAACATGTCTAGTTTACAATAAATCCATGCATGAATGAATCAGAGCCCTAAATGTAATACTCTGATCTACCCTGACATTTAAGCATTTATGTGATTTGAAAGGATTTAAAAGAGGTCATGTGTAGTTTCAAAATTTTCTAATAGAGATCCATTAGGTAAATCTGAATGATGCTGTACCTTTGAACTATTATTGTTCCCACAATTTGTTCTGGCCGAGAAAGCCAGGATCATAATTTCCCTGCCAGTAATCGGGTTTCAATCTCAGAATCTACAGTATAGCTATTACAGTTCAGCAATGTAGACCGTAGTACTTCTGTATCCACTGAGGAGCAGACCGTGAGATCATTAGCACATTATTAGTGCACGTCAAAGTGTCAAGATGAAATTCAGCTGCAAGGATTAAGTTCAAAGAATAAGTCATAGATTTCACCCAGGAGTGAAGGTGCACTCACCAACTAAAAGATAAGTTTTCTTATCACACCATGATTTTGTTTTAGTTTCCATACATTTTCTGGGCAATAGCTTTCCCATTTATCCACTATTGGCCCAGAGATTTGTATACAGTAATCTTTTCCAACAGTGTTGTCCCTTGGGAAATCAAAATGTTTCATAAAATTGTAGGTTGAAAACCAGTTCAAGATACTCAAATCTCCTCTACTAAATAAGGCAATAAAAATCACAAGAGGTATGAGGCCATTGGCAAAAATCTCAGCTTCCAAATCCATGAAAAAATATCTTGGTGGAGAACGTGGACACTAAAAAATGCCTTATTACTAAACAGATACGTATATACCAACAGTCTTACTTGAAAAGTTTAGACATTTCTCGTTATTTATATTCGGAATGTTTTACTAAAGAACTTACTCATTTCCGGTGACTAGAGGAAAAGAGTGTACTTCAATGTGTTTTTAAGAAGAGCAGATGGCAGTGAAAGCAGAATAGAGAGTTTGAGGCTAGCCAGGACAAGCTCAAGGTAAATTCTGCATGCTCTTGATGGATTCCGGCAATTAATCTTCAGATAAATGCCTTTTTCAGGCTTTCAAAAGGTATCAACAAAACCTAACTCAGGAGATGAAAATTTTCTAAATCTTTTATCCTTTTAAAATCTTTTTGTTTTAAAACCTTCTATTCTCCATGATCTAAGATAGGAACCGTGACAATTGCTAAAAATCCCTGTCCTCTGAGATTGTAGTATGTGGGTTCCTTCTTTATGAGCTCTCCAAGGCAACCAGCCCACCTCAAGGCACCCAGCCCATCTTCAAACTCTAGCGGCGATTGATTTGCTTCTGGCTCATAGTGACCCTATGGGACAGGGTAGGACTGCCCCTGTGGTTTCCGAGTCTGTAACTCTTCACAGTCGTAGAAAGCCTGGTCTTTCTCCCAGTGGTTTGCAGTCCACTGTGTACCTACTACCCAGTAGGCATTGATTAATGCCTCCAAGACATTCTTCTGGCTCAAAGCCTGTACATTTACGGCATCTAACTACTGGGCTCGGGTTCTTTGAGGTTTAGATGTGTTGCTGATAAATTAAACTCGGTGGGTGTGAATTTGAATTTGTCCTTACCGCCTCCGAGAGTGGGCACGTCTTCAGAGAACCTGGACTATGCGAAGAAGAAGTTGGCATCAGAATCGGAGGACTGTTTATTAACATCCTTCCATATGCAGGTGACACACCTTGCTTGCAGAAAGTGAGGAGGGGGAAACACTTGCTGATGACGACCAAGGACTGCAAACCTCAGGGGGAATTACAACGCAAAGTACAGAAAACCCAAATGCTCGCAACTGGACCCATCGATAGAAGATGATGATAAACAGAGAAAAGACTGAAGTTGTAAAAGATTTCATGTTGCTTGTGTCCACAATCAATACTCATGGAAGCAGCCGTCAAGAGATCAAATGTCATACTTCATTGGATACATCTGCTGTACAAGACCTCTTTAAAGGGTTGCAAGGCAAGGATATAACTATGAGGACTAAGGTACACCTGACCCAAGCCATGGAATTTTTAACGGCCTCATATGCATGTGAAAGTTGGTCATTGTGTAAGGAAGACAGAAGAAGAACTTTGCATTTAAATCATGATGCTGGCAAAGAACATTGAAAGGACTAAGGACTGCCAAAAAACCAAACAAAGTTGTCTTTAAAGAAGTCCAACCGCCCCTCGCCACGCTGCCTCGCCGTCTTGTCGGGCCAACTCACCCGCCGAGCCGACGACCGAGAAACGAATGTCTCCTCGCCCTCTTGCTCGCCATGTCTGGCTCTTCCAGTGTCGCCGCCATGAAGAAAGTGGTTCAGCAGCTCCGGCTGGAGGCCGGGCTCAACCGTGTGAAAGTTTCCCAGGCAGCTGCAGATTTGAAACAGTTTTGTCTGCAGAATGCTCAACATGACCCCCTGCTGACTGGAGTATCTTCGAGTACAAATCCTTTTAGACCCCAGAAAGTCTGTTCCTTTTTGTAATAAGATGAATCTTTCAAAGGTTTCCTAAGCTACTTCTCATGAACCAGTGAATACTCAAGGAGAGCTAAATTTGAACGTGTACAAAAGCTTGTCTTCACAGTTACATGTGCCATACTATACAAACTTCTACTTTGGTCAGTCCTTAACATCTACCTCTCTGAATTTTCATGAATTTCTATTTCACAAGGGTTGTTTTATATACACTGGCATCTGCATATAATAAAATAAACTTAATACAAAAAAAAAAAAAAGAAGTCCAACCAGAATGCTCCTTACAGGCAAGGCCTCGGAGACGTCTCACATACTTTGGGCATGTTGTCAGGTGAGTATAGTCCCTGCAGAAGGACATCAAACAGAGAGGAAGACACTGGACAAGATGGACTGCCTCAATGGGCTCAAACATAAAGACAATTGTGAGGAAGGCACAGGACTGGACAGCCTTTGCTTCTGATGAGCATCAGGTGCTACGCGCCAGAGCCGAGTCAATGGCACCTACCAGGAAAAACAGCCTCCTGCAGCTTCCAAACTCATGTTCCAAACCTCCTGCTTCTTACGTATTCCTCTGATGAACATCCACGCAGTCTCTGGAGCAAGGTTTCAGCGGCTGTCCTGCTCTGTGTGTGTGTTTCTCCTATCCGTGACGCTCAGCCCATCTCAACACAACCACTTGGATCTTCTCTTTTCTGTTACTTTTTCTAATTCACTCCAGTAAATCAGGTCCACATGATTTTTTGCCTAGATGGCCACAATAGCCCACTATTCCCTGCTCTCCGGGACCACGTTCACCAGTTCCACACTATAGCCAGAGTGAGAATTATAGATTGACTTGTGTCCTCCAAAAGATATGCTAACTTTTAAAAAATCATTTTTTTGGGGGGGGGGTATTCCTTACAAATCTTATAACAATCCATCATTCAATTGTATTAAGCACACTTATACATATGTTGCCATCAACATTTCCAAAACATTTTCTTTCTCCTTGAGCCCTTGGTATCAGCTCCCCCTTTTCCCCTCCCTCCCCGCCCCTACTAACCTTGGGAATTCTCGATCAATTATATATTATTATTATTGTATTTCATGTCTTACACTGTCCGTTGTCTCCCTTCACCCACATTTATGTTATTCATCCCTGGGGGGTGAGCTATATATCCAACCCTGTGATTGGTTTCCCCTTTCTCCCCTGGCCCCCTCACGTCCCCTCTTCCCCCACCATCCCCTTACTCTCATGATATAGCTACTCCCACTACTGTTCCTGAGAGTTTTATGTTCTGAATTCCAGGTGTTGAGAGCTCTTATCTGTACCAATGTGTGTACCCTGGTCTAGCTGGACTTGTAAAATAGGACAGGGCCATGGCAGTGGTGGGGAGGAAGCATTCAGGAACTAGAGGAATGATGTGCGTTTCATTGGTGCTATGCTGCACCCTGGTTGAATGATCCCTTCCCTGTAACCCTTCTGTAGGGGGATGTCCAATTGTCTACAGATAGGCTTTGGGTCTCCATTCCAAGCCCCCTCTTTCACATCAATATAATTATTTGTTTTGGATCTTTTGATACCTGATCCCGTCGACACCACATGATCACACAGGCTGGGGGCTTCTTCCATGTGGGCTTATTTGCTTACCGGCTAGATGGCTGCTTATTTAACTTCAAGTTATTAAGACCCTAGATGCTTTATCTTTTGATAGTTGGGTACCATCCGCTCTCTTCACCACATTTGCTTATGCACCCACTTTGTCTTCGGCAGTCGTATTGGGAAGATGAGTATCAAAGAGTGCCAGATTATTAGAACAAAGTGTTCTTGTGCTTAGGGAGACCTTGAGTAGAGGCCCAAAGTCCATCTGCTACCTTACTATTTCACATATAAATATATGTACATTTACCTCTTTCCCTTTCATCGTAAAATAATATATTTACATGTATTATACATGCCTATAGCTATACCTCTATAAATAGCTTCTGCCTCCCACTTCTTTCCTCTAATATCCTTTCACCTTCCTCCTGTCCATGCTCACCCTCCATTTGGCTCTCAGTAATTCCTCTCAGATATATTGACGCTAACTAACACCTTAACACCGATATACTTTAACTCTTTACAGGAGTAGAAAGCCCAGTCTTCCTCCTGGGGATCTGCTGGTAGTTTCAAACTGCCCACCATGCAGATCGCAGCCTAACATGTAACCACTAACCATGAGGACTCCATTGGAAACATATAAGGGGCTTCAAAGGGTTCATGAAAAAATTCCGTGACCTTTAGTTCCATTTTTCCAAGAACATTCTGAAGCCCCTTGTAGTCTCTGAAGGAATTATGTGAGTTAGCATGAGATCGCACTAGAGTAGGGTGAGTCTGTATCCTAAATGAGTAGTGTCTTTATGAAAGAAGGGGCGGGGGGGATACACAGACACCTGTGGAAACACTGCCATATGAAGATACAACTACAAGCCAAGAGACATCAAAAATGCTGAGCTATATAAAACTGGAAAAGACAAGGAATGCTCTTCCACCTCTCTAATGCTATGACCCTTGAATACAGTTCCTCCTGTTGTGGTGACCCCCCAATCATAAAATTATATCCATTGCTACTTCATAACTGTAATTTTGCTACTGTTATGAATCAGGTGAACCCCGTGAAAGGGTCGTTCAACCCCCAAAGGGGTCGCGAGAACTGCTGTGCTAGAAAGACAAAGACAGCATGGTACAAAGAAGTTCTGAATTCAGGTTCCTGCCCTGGAGAACAGTGAGAAAAACTTCTCTGTTCTTATAAACCACCTACATTGTGATGGGCTGTTACACCAACCCTAGGAAATTCACACAGTTTTCCACAGTATGCATGCACTCGTTCATTTACTTAACTACACCCTACTTCCTGAGCACCTACTGAGTGCAAGGCTCTGTGGTAGGTGCAATGATAAACAATCCCATGCTCTCTCAGAGCTTATGTTCACTGGAGGAAAAGCAGCAGGAGATAAAGAATACATACTGCGATCAGTGGGGAGAAATAAAGCAAGGAAGTCGGCAGGGTGTATTTGTGATTTGTTACTGTGATTTTTAAAGAGAATATTCAGAACTTTTTCACTGTAAAAGTGATTTTTCAACAGGGAAGACATGAAGTGTGTGAGGAAGAAGAAAACGAAAAGAACGTTGCACAGAGAAGGAGCTACAGTAAGCGCGAGCCCCGAGGTGCACAAGATCCTGGTATCAGAGAAGCAACAGGAGCCAGTTCTGCCGCAGGAGAGAAATCGGTCAGAGGCGTGTGGTTAGATGCCTTCTCCAACTCAGAGCGACTCTGCCGCAAAAGAGAACCCAGCCTGCCCGTTCCTGTGCCATCCTCGCGAGGTGCCTTATGTGTGGGCTCACGGTTGCTGCCACTGAGCCAATCCATCTTGACAAAGGCCTTCTTCTTTTCTGCTGCCCCTCTACTTTACCAAACATGGTATCCTTCTCCAGCGACGGTCTCTCCTTGACAACACGTCCAGTCTCAGAAACCTGCAGGGACAGGTCTACCCTGCCAGGGTCGCTATGAGTCCCTATCGACTCGGCGGCAGGGAGCTTGTATTTTGGCTTTGGGGTTTTCGTTTTAAGTATTCAGTTGCCACCACTGCAGGTATTATGAGATAAGCCTCTCTACAGCAGTCTCCAGATTACAAACAGGATCAGCTCCACTGTGTTTTAAGTCAAATTTGCAGATACATTGTTAGAGGCATATGCTTCTTCGTTAGTTTCTTTAGTGCAAGAAAGGGCCTAACGGCTCTTTAAATTATTTCAAAGCTGGACAAAGCAGCCAGGGAGGGTGATTGTGAGGAAGAAGGGTGCCAATAGGGGAATTTTATGTAACATGAAAGGGCAAACGGAAGTTTCCAATAAGGTGGATTTAACTTATTATCAAACTCAAAACCACACTCACTGTCATCAAATCCGTTCGGATTCACAGCAAACCTCTAGGACAAGGCAGAACTACTGTGTGGGTTCCAGAGACTGAAATTCTTTCCGGGAGTGGAAAACCAAATCTTTCTCCTGCAGAGCAGCTGGTGGTTTTGAACTGCTGACCTCGGGGCAGTTAATAGCCCAATTCCTAACCAGTACGTCACCATGTCTCCTAGTCAGTTGGATTTCCACAACCCAGGAACTTCTTACATACTTAGGCTGAGATGGGGGAAACCGGTTATCCTGAAGCATTTATCATCGGTGGTCAGAGGAGGCCCCTTGGGCAGTCGTGCACCTCTCACTGGAAGTTTGTATATAAATGCAAGATAGTCCCTTAGGTTACATCACAGATCACAGGGCAAAGGCCATAACCTAAGGTACAGCTAGGGGTTACAGATCAAAAATGGGGACTCCATCAGGGAATTTTTTTTCTTTCAAAAACAGGAGGGCATCGTAAGGTGCGCAATAACAGTTTGCTAAGTGAAGCAAGAAGTAAATGGTTCTTCTTAATTCTTTTGTGTTTAAAGATATTATAATTGTGCCACAAGTCAACTGCCCATATTTCAATATTTCACCCAGTCCTCTGAGACAATAGGCTATGTCCAATGTCGTTTAAGTATTTATTACCATGGCAACAATTAAAATTCAAGTCTTCTGATTCCTATCAGAAAACGCTGCAATCTTTTCCCCAACAGTTAACTCTTGGACAAGATAACCCAGGATATTTATTAGGATTAGATTGTTTCAGACTAAATGTGCCTGCTGCATTTTAATACCAACTTTGCATTTAAATGTAAAAAATACGACCAGCTATAACTTTTTGTTGTTGTTGTTTTTCCAGTTTTATTTATTTTTAATTAAAAGATCTTTTCTTTTAAGATAATTTTGTTGGGGCTCTTACAACTCTTGCTACAATCCATGCATTAATTGTATCAGACATATTAGTACATATATTGCATTGTTCTTTTCTAGACGTTTACTTTCTATTGAGCCCTTGGGATCAGCTCCTCTTCCCCGCCCCCACCCCCTTCACGGCTCCTTGATAGATTATAGACTTATTATTTTCATACCTTACACT